GCTCTGCGTCAAGGAAGGTTGTGCCATGCGCCATGCATGGCTCACGTGTTCAATCTGGTTGTCAAGCGGTTCCTAAAATCCACCATCCCACTGCAAGACATCCTTAAAATGTCACGTAAACTGTGCATGCATTTCAGCCATTCCTACACCGCAAAGAACACCCTCATTGAGCTGCAGCGGCAGAACGGAATTCCACAGCATCGCCTGATCTCTGCGCGTTGCAACAAGGTGGAATTCAACCCTACACATGTTAGACCGCCTTTACGAGCAGCGAAAGGCCATCACCGATTTCCTGATGTTACAAGCGGATAAAGGTACTCCCCTGTGTAACTTAGATGTCAGCCATTGGCAGCTCATGCGTGACACCTGCCGCTTGCTCAGGCCCTTTGAGGAGGCCACGCTATTCGTGAGTCGGCAGGACTATGGGGATGAACGACGTCATTCCTCTGTTGCACGTCCTGGAACAAATGCTGTTAACAATGGCTGGTCAGGGTGCGGTAGACGTGGCGCACAGATCTCAACGCCACATGACCCCTGTGGGGGCAGGACAGGAAGAAGAGGAGGAGGTAGAGGAGGACATTTGTGCTCAGGAATTATTGAGTGAAAAATGGGTGGTTTTTCCACTCAGCGGACAGGAGGAGTGGAGGAGCAGGAGCATCTGGTAGAGGAGGAGGAGGAGGAGACAGAGGACCCAGACGCACCGTGAGTATGCTGTGGAGATGGAGGCAGGGAGTCCTCTCGCATTCCTTGGCACAAATGGCCCATAGCATGCTCGGTTGCTTGCGTAGCGACAGCCGAATAATAACCATCAGACAGAGGGATGACTTTTGGCTGTCCACCTTGTTGGACCCTCGCTACCGGTCCAAAATGGTGGCCTTTTTCACACCTGCTGAGAGGGAGGCCAAAATTACGTACTATAAAAACCACCTATGTAGTCAGTTGGTCTCTGCCTTTGTGCGCCAACGTCCATCCTCAGACACTGTGGGCCCTGTGCGCTCGCGTTCCGCTGGCATGGCAGCAGGGGAGGGGGGTGGGGTGGTAGGAGCAGTGGCAGCTCCACCAGCAGCGGCTGCCTCAGTCTGCAGTCGATGATGAGTAGCTTTCTTCACCAGCGCAGTGAGGAAACTACTAACCAGCCGCAGCAGCAGCAGCAGCATCAGGTGGACCTGGAGCAGGAGCTCAAACAACCAGGGGGGCCTACTTGGACAGCACCCTGCCAACCGAGGTAGACAATCCCCTTGACTACTGGGCAACGAAACTTGACCTTTGGCCCCAACTAGCTGAATTTGCCCTTGAAAGGCTGTCATGCCCGGCCAGTAGCGTGGCATCGGAGCGCGTGTTTAGTGCGGCAGGAGGTATTGTAACTCCGCGGAGGACACGACTGTCCACCCAAAGTGTGGAGAGACTCACGTTTGTGAAAATGAATCAGGCGTGGATTAGTCTGGATTTCAAACCACCAGTTCCTGACACAACTGACTAAATCCGCCATGAATCATGCCTCAAACATGTGCCACTTTCAGGTCTCCTCACACTGCTGTGTGTGTGTTTAATTTTTTGACATAGGGTGCTGGCAGATTACGGGCCTCCTATAGCTGCTGCCAGGCCCCTAATCTGCCATAGGCCCCTATATACCGCCTCCTCATGCTGCTGCCAAGTCCAGAGTCTCTCATGGGCTGTACGGCCTCCCATTGCTGCTGTCTCCATCGCCACACTCTGCTGCCATGTGCCACTTTCAGGTCTCTTCACACTGCTGGTGTGTTGTTAATTTTTTTTTTTTGACATAGGGTGCAGGCAGATTACGGGCCTCACATAGCTGCTGCCAGGCCCCTAATCTGCCATGCCATGGGCCCCTATATACCCCCGCCTCCTCATGCTGCTGCCAAGTCCAGAGTCTCTCATGGGTCCCTGTACGGCCTCCCATTGCTGCTGTCTCCATCGCCACACTGCTGCCATGTGCCACTTTCAGGTCTCTTCACACTGCTGGTGTGTTAAATTTTTTGACATAGGGTGCAGGCAGATTACGGGCCTCACATAGCTGCTGCCAGGCCCCTAATCTGCCATGGGCCCCTATATATACCGCCTCCTCATGCTGCTGCCAAGTCCAGAGTCTCTGTCATGGGTCCCTGTACGGCCTCCCATTGCTGCTGTCTCCATCGCCACACTCTGCTGCCATGTGCCACTTTCAGGTCTCTTCACACTGCTGGTGTGTTAAATTTTTTGACATAGGGTGCAGGCAGATTACGGGCCTCACATAGCTGCTGCCAGGCCCCTAATCTGCCATGGGCCCCCCCTATATACCGCCTCCTCATGCTGCTGCCAAGTCCAGAGTCTCTCATGGGTCCCTGTACGGCCTCCCATTGCTGCTGTCTCCATCGCCACACTCTGCTGCCATGTGCCACTTTCAGGTCTCTTCACACTGCTGGTGTGTTAAATTTTTTGACATAGGGTGCAGGCAGATTACGGGCCTCACATAGCTGCTGCCAGGCCCCTAATCTGCCATGGGCCCCTATATACCGCCTCCTCATGCTGCTGCCAAGTCCAGAGTCTCTCATGGGTCCCTGTACGGCCTCCCATTGCTGCTGTCTCCATCGCCACACTCTGCTGCCATGTGCCACTTTCAGGTCTCTTCACACTGCTGGTGTGTTAAATTTTTTGACATAGGGTGCAGCAGATTACGGGCCTCATAGCTGCTGCCAGGCCCCTAATCTGCCATGGGCCCCTATATACCGCCTCCTCATGCTGCTGCCCAAGTCCAGAGTCTCTCATGGGTCCCTGTACGGCCTCCCTCCCATTGCTGCTGTCTCCATCGCCACACTCTGCTGCCATGTGCCACTTTCAGGTCTCTTCTTCACACACTGCTGGTGTGTTTAAATTTTTTGACAGGGTGCAGGCAGATTACGGGCCTCACATAGCTGCTGCCAGGCCCCTAATCTGCCATGGGCCCCTATATACCGCCTCCTCATGCTGCTGCCAAGTCCAGAGTCTGTCATGGGTCCCTGTACGGCCTCCCATTGCTGCTGTCTCCATCGCCACACTCTGCTGCCATGTGCCACTTTCAGGTCTCTTCACACTGCTGGTGTGTTAAATTTTTTGACATAGGGTGCAGGCAGATTACGGGCCTCACATAGCTGCTGCCAGGCCCCTAATCTGCCATGGGCCCCTATATACCGCCTCCTCATGCTGCTGCCAAGTCCAGAGTCTGTCATGGGTCCCTGTACGGCCTCCCATTGCTGCTGTCTCCATCGCCACACTCTGCCATGTGCCACTTTCAGGTCTCTTCACACTGCTGGTGTGTTAAATTTTTTGACATAGGGTGCAGGCAGATTACGGGCCTCACATAGCTGCTGCCAGGCCCCTAATCTGCCATGGGCCCCTATATATACCGCCTCCTCATGCTGCTGCCAAGTCCAGAGTCTCTCATGGGTCCCTGTACGGCCTCCCATTGCTGCTGTCTCCATCGCCACACTCTGCTGCCATGTGCCACTTTCAGGTCTCTTCACACTGCTGGTGTGTTAAATTTTTTGACATAGGGTGCAGGCAGATTACGGGCCTCACATAGCTGCTGCCAGGCCCCTAATCTGCCATGGGCCCCTATATACCGCCCGCCTCCTCATGCTGCTGCCAAGTCCAGAGTCTCTCATGGGTCCCCTGTACGGCCTCCCATTGCTGCTGTCTCCATCGCCACACTCTGCTGCCATGTGCCACTTTCAGGTCTCTTCACACTGCTGGTGTGTTAAATTTTTTGACATAGGGTGCAGGCAGATTACGGGCCTCACATAGCTGCTGCCAGGCCCCTAATCTGCCATGGGCCCCTATATACCGCCTCCTCATGCTGCTGCCAAGTCCAGAGTCTCTCATGGGTCCCTGTACGGCCTCCCATTGCTGCTGTCTCCATCGCCACACTCTGCTGCCATGTGCCACTTTCAGGGTCTCTTCACACTGCTGGTGTGTTAAATTTTTTTTGACATAGGGTGCAGGCAGATTACGGGCCTCACATAGCTGCTGCCAGGCCCCTAATCTGCCATGGGCCCCCCTATATACCGCCTCCTCATGCTGCTGCCAAGTCCAGAGTCTCTCATGGGTCCCTGTACGGCCTCCCATTGCTGCTGTCTCCATCGCCACACTCTGCTGCCATGTGCCACTTTCAGGTCTCTCACACTGCTGGTGTGTTAAATTTTTTGACATAGGGTGCAGGCAGATTACGGGGCCTCACATAGCTGCTGCCAGGCCCCTAATCTGCCATGGGCCCCTATATACCGCCTCCTCATGCTGCTGCCAAGTCAGAGTCTGTCATGGGTCCCTGTACGGCCTCCCATTGCTGCTGTCTCCATCGCCACACTCTGCTGCCATGTGCCACTTTCAGGTCTCTTCACACTGCTGGTGTGTTAAATTTTTTGACATAGGGTGCAGGCAGATTACGGGCCTCACATAGCTGCTGCCAGGCCCCCTAATCTGCCATGGGCCCCTATATACCGCCTCCTCATGCTGCTGCCAAGTCAGAGTCTCTCATGGGTCCCTGTACGGCCTCCCATTGCTGCTGTCTCCATCGCCACACTCTGCTGCCATGTGCCACTTTCAGGTCTCTTCACACTGCTGGTGTGTTAAATTTTTTGACATAGGGGGCAGCAGCAGATTATAGGGGGCCTCACATAGCTGCTGCCAGGCCCCTAATCTGCCATGGGCCCCTATATACCGCCTCCTCATGCTGCTGCCAAGTCCAGAGTCTCTCATGGGTCCCTGTACGGCCTCCCATTGCTGCTGTCTCCATCGCCACACTCTGCTGCCATGTGCCACTTTCAGGTCTCACACACTGCTGGTGTGTTAAATTTTTTGACATAGGGTGCAGGCAGATTACGGGCCTCACATAGCTGCTGCCAGGCCCCTAATCTGCCATGGGCCCCTATATACCGCCTCCTCATGCTGCTGCCAAGTCCAGAGTCTCTCATGGGTCCCTGTACGGCCCCCCATTGCTGCTGTCTCCATCGCCACACTCTGCTGCCATGTGCCACTTTCAGGTCTCTTCACACTGCTGGTGTGTGTTTAAATTTTTTGACATAGGGTGCAGGCAGATTACGGGCCTCACATAGCTGCTGCCAGCCCCTAATCTGCTGCATGGGCCCCTATATACCGCCTCCTCATGCTGCTCAGAGTCTCTCATGGGTCCCTGCTGTCTCCTGCCTACACTCTGTCCAGAGCCTTTCAGGTCTCTTCACACTGCTGGCCATCAATTTTTCCCTGCAGGCGGATAAACGGGCCTCCCTCCCATGTGCCCCTAATCTGCTGTCAGCCTCCATGTGCACACACTGCTGCCATGTGCCACTTGCCAGTGCCACTTTCAGCTCTTCACACTGCTGGTCGGCAATTTTTTGACTATAGGGTGCAGGCAGATTACGGGCCTCACATAGCTGCTGCCAGGCCCCTAATCTGCCATGGGCCCCTATATACCGCCTCCTGCTGCTGCCAGGTCCAGAGTCTGTCATGGGTCCCTGTACGGCCTCCCATGCTGCTGTCTCCATCGCCACACTCTGCCATGTGCCACTTTCAGGTCTCTCACACACTGCTGTGGTGTGTTAAATTTTTTGACATAGGGTGCAGGCAGATTACGGGCCTCACATAGCTGCTGCCAGGCCCCTAATCTGCCATGGGCCCCTATATACCGCCTCCTCATGCCTGCTGCTGCCAAGTGGGTCCAGAGTCTGTCATGGGTCCCTGTACGGCCTCCCATTGCTGCTGTCTCCATCGCCACACTCTGCTGCCATGTGCCACTTTCAGGTCTCTTCACACACTGTGGTGTTAAATTTTTTGACATAGGGTGCAGGCAGATTACGGGCCTCACATAGCTGCTGCTGCCAGGCCCCTAATCTGCCATGGGCCCCTATATACCGCCTCCTCATGCTGCTGCCAAGTCCAGAGTCTGTCATGGGTCCCTGTACGGCCTCCCATTGCTGCTGTCTCCATCGCCACACTCTGCTGCCATGTGCCACTTTCAGGTCTCTTCACACTGCTGGTGTGTTAAATTTTTTGACATAGGGTGCAGGCAGATTACGGGCCTCACATAGCTGCTGCCAGGCCCCTAATCTGCCATGGGCCCCTATATACCGCCTCCTCCTCATGCTGCTGCCAAGTCCAGAGTCTGTCATGGGTCCCTGTACGGCCTCCCATTGCTGCTGTCTCCATCGCCACACTCTGCTGCCATGTGCCACTTTCAGGTCTCTTCACACTGCTGGTGTGTAAATTTTTTGACATAGGGTGCAGGCAGATTACGGGCCTCACATAGCTGCTGCCAGGCCCCCCCTAATCTGCCATGGGCCCCTATATACCGCCTCCTCATGCTGCTGCCAAGTCCAGAGTCTCTCATGGGTCCCTGTACGGGCCTCCCATTGCTGCTGTCTCCATCGCCACACTCTGCTGCCATGTGCCACTTTCAGGTCTCTTCACACTGCTGCTGGTGTGTTAAATTTTTTGACATAGGGTGCAGGCAGATTACGGGCCTCACATAGCTGCTGCCAGGCCCCTAATCTGCCATGGGCCCCTATATACCGCCTCCTCATGCTGCTGCCAAGTCCAGAGTCTCTCATGGGTCCCTGTACGGCCTCCCATTGCTGCTGTCTCCATCGCCACACTCTGCTGCCATGTGCCACTTTCAGGTCTCTTCACACACACTGCTGGTGTGTCTTCATGGGCCCCTTATATTGCCCAAGTCTCACATTTTGACATAGGTTTTTTGCATTTTTTGACATAGGGTGCAGGCAGATTACGGGCCTCACATGCTGCTGGCCTGCCAGGCCCCTAATCTGCCATGGGCCCCTATATGCTGCCCTCTGCCAGTCCTCATCTGCTGCCAAGTCCAGAGTCTGTCATGGGTCCCCTGTGCTGGCCTCCCATGCTGCTGCTGTCCATCGCCACACTCTGCTGCCATGTGCCACTTTCAGGTCTCTTCACACTGCTGGTGTGTTAAATTTTTTGACATAGGGTGCAGGCAGATTACGGGCCTCACATAGCTGCTGCCAGGCCCCTAATCTGCCATGGGCCCCTATATACCGCCTCCTCATGCTGCTGCCAAGTCCAGAGTCTGTCATGGGTCCCTGTACGGCCTCCCATTGCTGCTGTCTCCATCGCCACACTCTGCTGCCATGTGCCACTTTCAGGTCTCTTCACACTGCTGTGTGTTAAATTTTTTGACATAGGGTGCAGGCAGATTTACGGGCCTCACATAGCTGCTGCCAGGCCCCTAATCTGCCATGGGCCCCTATATACCGCCTCCTCATGCTGCTGCCAAGTCCAGAGTCTCTCATGGGTCCCTGTACGGCCTCCCATTGCTGCTGTCTCCATCGCCACACTCTGCTGCCATGTGCCACTTTCAGGGTCTCTTCACACTGCTGGTGTGTTAAATTTTTTGACATAGGGTGCAGGCAGATTACGGGCCTCACATAGCTGCTGCCAGGCCCCTAATCTGCCATGGGCCCCTATATACCGCCTCCTCATGCTGCTGCCAAGTCCAGAGTCTCTCATGGGTGGGTCCCTGTACGGCCTCCCATTGCTGCTGTCTCCATCGCCACACTCTGCTGCCATGTGCCACTTTCAGGTCTCTTCACACTGCTGGTGTGTTAAATTTTTTGACATAGGGTGCAGGCAGATTACGGGCCTCACATAGCTGCTGCCAGGCCCCTAATCTGCCATGGGCCCCTATATACCGCCTCCTCATGCTGCTGCCAAGTCCAGAGTCTGTCATGGGTCCCTGTACGGCCTCCCATTGCTGCTGTCTCCATCGCCACACTCTGCTGCCATGTGCCACTTTCAGGTCTCTTCACACTGCTGGTGTGTTAAATTTTTTGACATAGGGTGCAGGCAGATTACGGGCCTCACATAGCTGCTGCCAGGCCCCTAATCTGCCATGGGCCCCTATATATACCGCCTCCTCATGCTGCTGCCAAGTCAGAGTCTGTCATGGGTCCCTGTACGGCCTCCCATTGCTGCTGTCTCCATCGCCACACTCTGCTGCCATGTGCCACTTTCAGGTCTCTTCACACTGCTGGTGTGTTAAATTTTTTGACATAGGGTGCAGGCAGATTACGGGCCTCACATATAGCTGCTGCCAGGCCCCTAATCTGCCATGGGCCCCTATATACCGCCTCCTCATGCTGCTGCCAAGTCCAGAGTCTGTCATGGGTCCCTGTACGGCCTCCCATTGCTGCTGTCTCCATCCATCGCCACACTCTGCTGCCATGTGCCACTTTCAGGTCTCTTCACACTGCTGGTGTGTTAAATTTTTTGACATAGGGTGCAGGCAGATTACGGGCCTCACATAGCTGCTGCCAGGCCCCTAATCTGCCATGGGCCCCTATATACCGCCTCCTCATGCTGCTGCCAAGTCCAGAGTCTGTCATGGGTCCCTGTACGGCCTCCCATTGCTGCTGTCTCCATCGCCACACTCTGCTGCCATGTGCCACTTTCAGGTCTCTTCACACTGCTGGTGTGTTAAATTTTTTGACATAGGGTGCAGGCAGATTACGGGCCTCACATAGCTGCTGCCAGGCCCCTAATCTGCCATGGGCCCCTATATACCGCCTCCTCATGCTGCTGCCAAGTCCAGAGTCTCTCATGGGTCCCTGTACGGCCTCCCATTGCTGCTGTCTCCATCGCACACACACTCTGCTGCCATGTGCCACTTTCAGGTCTCCTCACACTGCTGGTGTGTTAAATTTTTTGACATAGGGTGCAGGCAGATTACGGGCCTCACATAGCTGCTGCTGCCAGGCCCCTAATCTGCCATGGGCCCCTATATACCGCCTCCTCATGCTGCTGCCAAGTCCAGAGTCTCTCATGGGTCCCTGTACGGCCTCCCATTGCTGCTGTCTCCATCGCCACACTCTGCTGCCATGTGCCACTTTCAGGTCTCTTCACACTGCTGGTGTGTTAAATTTTTTTGACATAGGGTGCAGGCAGATTACGGGCCTCACATAGCTGCTGCCAGGCCCCTAATCTGCCATGGGCCCCTATATACCGCCTCCTCATGCTGCTGCCAAGTCCAGAGTCTGTCATGGGTCCCTGTACGGCCTCCCATTGCTGCTGTCTCCATCGCCACACTCTGCTGCCATGTGCCACTTTCAGGTCTCTTCACACTGCTGGTGTGTTAAATTTTTTGACATAGGGTGCAGGCAGATTACGGGCCTCACATAGCTGCTGCCAGGCCCCTAATCTGCCATGGGCCCCTATACGCCTCCTCATGCTGCTGCCAAGTCTAGAGTCTCTCATGGGTCCCTGTACGGCCTCCCATTGCTGCTGTCTCCATCGCCACACTCTGCTGCCATGTGCCACTTTCAGGTCTCTTCACACTGCTGGTGTTAAATTTTTTGACATAGGGTGCAGGCAGATTACGGGCCTCACATAGCTGCTGCCAGGCCCCTAATCTGCCATGGGCCCCTATATACCGCCTCCTCATGCTGCTGCCAAGTCCAGAGTCTGTCATGGGTCCCTGTACGGCCTCCCATTGCTGCTGTCTCCATCGCCACACTCTGCTGCCATGTGCCACTTTCAGGTCTCTTCACACTGCTGGTGTGTTAAATTTTTTGACATAGGGTGCAGGCAGATTACGGGCCTCACATAGCTGCTGCCAGGCCCCTAATCTGCCATGGGCCCCCCTATATACCGCCTCCTCATGCTGCTGCCAAGTCCAGAGTCTCTCATGGGTCCCTGTACGGCCTCCCATTGCTGCTGCTGCTGTCTCCATCGCCACACTCTGCTGCCATGTGCCACTTTCAGGTCTCTTCACACTGCTGGTGTGTTAAATTTTTTGACATAGGGTGCAGGCAGATTACGGGCCTCACATAGCTGCTGCCAGACATGTAATCTGCCATGGGCCCCCGTACCGACTCCTCATGCTGTGACGTTGCAACAAGGTGGAATTCAACCCTACATATGTTAGACCGCCTTTACGAACAGCTAAAGGCCATCACAGATTTCCTGATGTTAAAAGCGGATAAAGGTACTCCCTGTGTAACTTAGATGTCAGCCATTGGCAGCTCATGTGTGACACCTGCGCTTGCTCAGGCCCTTTGAGGAGGCCACGCTATTCGTGAGTCGGCAGGACTATGGGATGAATGAGGTCAAATCGGCCATGGGCCCCCGTACCGCCTGTTCACTGCTGATGCTGGTCCCACAGTGTGACCTGGGTCCCTGTACGGCCTTCCATTGCTTCCACTCTGCCATGTGCCACTTTGAAAAATCTCTCACTCCTGCGGTTGTCCATTTTGTGTCATAGGTTGCTGGCAGATTACAGGCCTTCCATAGGTGCCACCAAGCCCCATATCGGCCATGGGCCCCCGTACCGCCTGGTCACGCTGCTGCTGGGCCCATAGTGTGACCTGGGTCCCTGTACCGCCTCCCATTGCTCCCACTCTGCCATGTGCCACTTTCAGGTCTCCTCACGCTCCTGCTGGTTTCCATTTTGTCATAGGTTGCTGTATGGCCTCCCATTGCTGCTGCCTCCACCGCCACACTGTGGCTCCAAACACTGGTTTTGGCCCCGTGACTGGCCAAAGGAGTGAAGTGTGCAGTGATTCTAAGATCGACGGCACTCATCTGCATGTCATACTGACAGACAGTATTATTTCTCTTCCCCAGCAGACTCCAAGGGCATTTAAATTAAAGGTACAGTGTTCTGCACTAATATTAAGTCTCTCTGAAGCCTAGAAACACCCTTTTTTAAGTTAAATTCACAGCGAATTTATTCGACTCGAATCGAATATTGTCCACGAATTCGCCGAATCAGTCGAATCGAATTTTTCATTTCTTCAAAGTCCAAAATACTGTTTTTTTTTCCTCAAAATTGTCAGGTTTTTTTTTATAGCGCAAAAAATAAAAACTGCACAGACAATCAAATACCACCGAAAGAAAGCTCAATTTGTGGGGAAAAAAGGATGTAAATTTCATTTATGTACCGTATTGCATGACCGCGCAATTGTCCGTTAAACTAGCGCAGCGCTGTATAGCAGAAAAATGGGGTAAATTGCAGTATCTATACCATAGTTTGTAGACGATATAACTTCCACACAAAGCAATCAATATACACTCATTGGGATTTTTTTTTACCAAAAACATGGAGCAGAATACATTTTGGCCTAAATTTATAACCAACTTTGAGTTTACTATATATTTTTTTTATAGCTGAAAATAAAAAATATTGTTTTTCTTCAAAATTTTTGGCCTTTTTTTGTTTATAGCGTGAAAAATAAAAAGCGCACAGGTGATCAAATACCACCGAAAGAAATCTCTATTTGTGTGAAAAAAAGGACGTAAATTTCGTTTGGGTGCAGCATTGCATGACCGCGCAATTATCAGTTGAATTAGTGCAGCGCCGAGTAGCAAAAAGAGGCGTGGTCAGGAAGGGGGATAAATCCTCTGGAGCTCAAGTGGTTAATGTCACATGGTATTTGCGTAACAGTTTTTCAAATGCAATTTTTTGGGGAAAAAGTACACTTTCATTAATTTTAGCGCACACAAACACAATATCCAGTTTTTAGCTAAAATATAAAAGGTGGTGTTACACCGAGTAAATAGATGCCAAACATGTCATGCTTCAAAATTGCACACACCCGTGGAATGGCGATGGAGTACAGTACATTCATTTATCCATAGGTGATGCTTTAAAAGCCTTTCCAGGTTAGCAGTTTGGAGTTACACAGGGGGTCTGGTGCTCGAATTATTGCTGTCGCTCTGACGTCCATGGCGACACCACACGTGTGGTGCAAGCAGGGGCGGACTGACAACTCATGGGGCCCCCAGGCAATAGCGGATCATGGGGCCGCTGTGTCCTTGCCCAAACTCAAAAAAGCCTATGAAAAAGGTACCAGGGGCATCTCATGGGGCCCCCTACCGACCCCGGGCCCTCGGGCAGTGCCAGAGTTTCCAAATGGTCAGTCCGCCCCTGGGTGCGAGGCACTGTTTACATATACAGGGGAGCACAGTGGCTAAATGGTTAGCAGTACTAGGGCCATCGGTTCGAATCCAAACCATGGCACCAGCTGCCTGGAGTTTGCACATTCCCCCTGTGGTGTGGGGGAGATTTTGTTGGCACTAGCAAGGTGTACCTTGCATGTTCTCCCTGTGCCTACTTGGGTTTCCTCCGGGTACTCTGGTTTCCTCCCACACTACAAAGATATGCTGGTAGGTGAATTGGCTCCTGTCTAAATTGGCCCTAGAATGTGTATGTATGAATGTGAGCTAGGGAGTTAAGCCTGTACGCTCCTCGGGGGCGGGGACTGATGTGAATGTACAATATATATGCAAAGCACTGCATAAATTGACGGCGCTATATAAGTACCTGTAATAATAATATACATGCGTGACTTTAGTGTGCATTTGCTCATGTGCACGGGTAGGGAGGGGGGGCACTTTAAATTTTATTTATTTTTTTAATTATTATTAATTTAATTTAATTTACATTTATTTTTTGTAACAGTGTACCTTTAATCCAATTGCTATCACAAGCGATGAACAACCTCCCTTGTGATAGCATGGGCCGTGACAGGTGCCCTTTGTGGTGAGATCTGGTCTATTAGACCCCAAATCTCAACTCTGGACTCCAAAGCATCTGATTAATTCACGATCGGTTTGATCAGATGCTTTCACAAGCCGGTAACAGCTTGTCAACGAAGGACTGAAACCGTAAGTGACAAAATCCTCATCGCTTCTGATGTCACACAGTGGGAGGAGCCACATCAGTTGCCATCGGTCACATTCTTACTGGGCTCCCTAGAGAGACAGGAGAGCTCAGCAAATGTAGCGGCGGCAGGGAGGGGATCCCCCTTCCACCACTTATTAAAAGTATTCCAACTGATGTATACAGTAGCTGCTTGGATCACTTTTACTTGGTGCAGAATCGCCTGGTGTAACTGATCTTGCAGCCAATAGTGATCCGCGGGATCAGCTTCAGCGGTTTGCACCCTGTAAGGGGTTCACTGTGGCAGCTCTGTGCTAAAGTCAAAGATCGGCTTCTTCGGCCTGAAACCGGCACATGCGCAGTTGCTTCGGGGGATACATATCTTCGTGGATACTCATTTTACCGCTACACCGGGAGCAGCTGTCACTGTGCTGGGAATCCGGGATCACCCCAATAACTGGCCAGGACCTTCACAGAGCCCAGAAGCTCTGCTGGCATCCTGCTCCTGCACTCCCCTGTGATGGTGTCACCCGGTGCGACCAGCACCCCCCTAGGGAAGCCGCAGTATGCATGTACTTTAGTAAACAAGAATGATGTTCCTACAAACTACTTACAATTTTAGGAAAACAATGCACAACCTACAGAGTGATCCAAAATATGCCTGCAATATACACATACATCATTTCCTGTTGCATGAGCTCCATGAACCAGTCAAACAAGTTAATTAGCTGATGAGCAGGGGAAGTGCACTGCCCAGGATATACATATATATATATATTGATCTGGCTGTGAGTTTTAATACATTCATTTTTATTCACACAAGATTTTAGCTTGTGCTGGTGGTCAGTGGAACTTTGCCATCTTATGCTGGTGGTCAGTGGAACTGTGCCCCCTTGTGCTGATGGTCAGTGGAACTTTGCCCCCTTGTGCTGATGGTCAGTGGAACTTTGCCCCCTTGTGCTGATGGTCAGTGGAACTTTGCCCCCCTTGTGCTGGTGGTCAGTGGAATTGTGCCCCCCTTGTGCTGGTGGTCAGTGGAACTTTGCCCCCTTGTGCTGGTGGTCAGTGGAATTGTGCCCCCTTGTGCTGGTGGTCGGTGGAACCTTACCCCTTGTGCTGGTGGTCAGTGGAACTATGCCCCCTTGTGCTGGGTGGTCAGGGGAACTGTGCCCCCTTTTGCTGGGAGGTCAGTGGAACTTTGCCCCCTTGTGTTGGTGATCAGCGGAACTTTGCCCCCTTGTGCTGGTAGTCAGTGGCACTTTGCCCCTTTTTGCTCTGTGTAACTTTGCCCCCTTGTGCTGGTGGTCAGTGGAACTTTGTCCCCTTGTGCTGGTGGTCAGTGGAACTTTGTCCCCTTGGGCTGGTGGTCAGTGGAAGCTCTGTCGCTGTGTTCTTCTTTTAAGACAAAATATGGTAATGTACAGGTTGTATTTTCTAAACTAAAACCTCAGTATTCAGGTTTATATGTATATCTGAAATACTAAAATTTTGGCAGTTTTAAATATATATATATATATATATATATATATATATATATATATATATATATATATAATTATATTTTTTAATATATGGAATACGGCCAAAATTGTAGTATTTCAGATATATGTCAATATATTTGGGAAGAATATTTTTTTAAATATATTTAAAGTATATTTTTCTTCCACTTCAAGGGTTAATGGTGCATTAACCCCTCGCCTACCAGGCACTTATACCCCCTTCCTTACCAGGCCAATTTTCAGCTTTCAGCGCTGCCGCACTTTGATTGACAATTGCGCGGTCATGCAACATTGTACCCATATGAAATTTTGATAATTTTTTTTCTCACAAATAGAGCTTTCTTTTGGTGGTATTTAATCGCCACTGGGCGCTTTACTTTTTGCGCTATAAATTAAAAAGTGCAAAAAATTTGAAAAAAAAAAAAAAAGTTTATTTGTATCTTTTATAAAATTTTTCAAACAGGTATTTTTTCTCCTTCACTGATTTGCGTTGATGAGGCGGCACTGATGGGCACTGATAGGCGGCACTGATGGGCACTGATAGGCAGCACTAAAGGGCACTGATAGGCAGTACTAATGAGGTGGCACGGATAGGCGGCACTGATAGACAGCACTAATTAGGGGTCACGGATAGGCGGCACTGATATGCAGCACTGATAGGCGGCACTGATAGGTGACACTGATGATGGGTACTGATAGACGGCACTGACTGGCATCACTTCTGGGCACTGACTGGCGGCACTGACTGGCACAACCCCTGGGCACTGACTGGTGGCACTGACTGGCAGCACTGCTGGGCTGCACTGGTGGGTGGCACTGGTGTGCAGCATTGGTGGGTGGGCACAGGTGGGTGGCACTGGTGGGCACAGGTGGGTGGCACTGGTGGGCACAGGTGGGTGGCACTGCTGGGCACATGTAGGTGGCACTTCTGGGCACAGGTAGGTGGCACTGCAGAGTGGCACAGGTGGGTGCACTGCTGGGCACAGGTGGGTGGCACTGCTGGGCACATGTAGGTGGCACTTCTGGGCACAGGTAGGTGGCACTGCAGAGTGGCACAGGTGGGTGCACTGCTGGGCACAGGTGGGGGCACTGCTGGGCACAGGTGGGGGCACTGCTGGGAACGGTGTGGGCGGGGCTAGTGGGCGCACTGCTGGGCGGAACTTGCGGGTGTCACTGCTGGGCACCGATCATCAGGGCACTGATCATCAGTGCCCTGATGATCGGTGCCGATCCCCGCTCTGACAACTGCCGGTTCTCGGCAGTACTTTCCTCACGATCTGACAGCGTGAGGAAAGTGCAGCCGAGAACCGGCACTTGCATTTCCCTGTGATCAGCGTGTCATTGGACACCGCTGATCACGTGGTAAAAGGCCGGTGGGATCGGCCTTTCACCACATCACGTGATCAGCTGTGTCCGTAGGACACAGCGATCACGGAGATCGCCGGGTGCGCGCCCCCTGGGGCGCGCAGGAGAGCGCGTTCTGGGAGGACGTCATATGAAGTCCACTCAGAACTGGCCGGCCGCGGTGAAGCCGTCATTCGGCTATGCGCGGTCGGCAAGAGGTTAAGGTCTAGGGGAGAGTAAAAGTGATTTTACTTACCTGATCCTCCACTCCTCCAGCAGGTGGCGCTCACCTATGATGTTCTGGCGGTGGACTGTCCCTCGACTTCATCATGTCTTACCTCCGGTTCACATCTGTGCGGGTGGTGCCACTGCGGATCCGACCAAAAATCCGTGCAGCTGCACCACCCGCACGAAGAATGCGAACCCGCGGGTGGGTGTCATTAGTTCTAATGGCACGTCCAGTGGTGTATTTAGGTTTTGTGCTGCCCTAGGCAACACAAAAATTGTCTGCCCCCACAAACACTAACCAATACCTCCCCCTCCCGGGGAGAAAGCCTGACATTGACCAACAACACCCCTTCCCCCACCTGGGAGAACCTTCCACTACCCCTCCCGGCGATAAAGAGAAAGGCACTCATCTTCACAGCTCCGGACATCCCTGGGAATGAGAGTCGGGCTCTATATACACCATCAAGCAGGGGCGGACTGACCATTTGGAAACTTGGGCACTGCCCGAGGGCCAGGGGTCAGTAGGGGGCCCCATGAGATGCCCCTGGTACCTTTTTCATAGGCTTTTTTTGAGTTTGAACAAGAACACATGGGCCCCATGATCCCCTATTGCCCGGGGGCCCCATGAGTTGTCAGTCCGCCCCTGCCGTCAAGCAGCCCTCAGCCTCTCTCAGACCCCACCTGGTTCCCATGGCATGCATGTCCTTCTTCTTTCATCCCTTCTTCTGGGGGGAGGTGCTGCCCCCCCTAAAAAATGCCGCCCTAGGCAAGTGCCTTGTTTGCCTTGTGGTAAATACACCCCTGGGCACGTCGCCCGCACTGGAAAACGCAACCGTACTGGGAACCTCGGCTGCGTTTTCCAAAGAAGTGCAGGGACTTCTTTCCCTGCGTGTCATGGGCACGGGAGTCTATTCAAATGAATGGGCTCTCGCGCCCGTGCAAAACATGGCCCGCACGGCCGCATAGATGTGAACCCGTCAGGGGTCAGTGATATCAGCACCTTGAACTGCTGGAGCCAGGGGCGGACAGACAACTCAATGGGCCCCCGGGCAATAAGGGATCATGGGACCCCTGTGTCCTTGCCCAAACTCAAAAAAAGCTTTTGAAAAAGGTACCAGGGGCATCTCATGGGGCCCCCTACGGACCCCGGGCCCTCGGACAGTGCCCGAGTTTCCAAATGGTCAGTCCACCCCTGGCTGGAGCAAAGGGTAGAATGCACTTCAGGGATCATTCTAGCTGAGGGTTGGGTAAGTAGGGCTTCTTTGCCAAGTCCCCTAGACCTAATCAAGCAATTAACCCTTGTGGTGCACTGCAAGAGATCATTTTCAAGTTTCCTTGAGTGGTCCTCAGTCAAGGAGAAAGGACAGTCAAACCCCACCCCTGAGGACGGATCAACCTCCAAGCTAGTAGACATCACTGTAGCAGCGGTGCCTACTCTGTAATTCAGCTTCCATGGGGACACCACGGGTATGGTATACGCATAGTTACGATGGTTCAAGCTGGACCAACGTAACTACGTAAAAATAGGCAATTCTAGCATTCAGCTTTAAATAAGTGTCTCTAATGCAAGGTTTCCCCTTTGTTCTCTAGTTCTGGTGACAACTGTAACATTTTGAATTTCTCAAAACCTTCTTTGACAATGGCAACCAAAACAAATACAGAGGGTGAACCTTACCACCGGGGACACAGACAGCAATGGAACATTTGACAGAGGTTCTAACCCTTTCCAAATCTATCCAAAACTAAAGAAAAGACAGGTTTGACAAAAAAAACACTTTAATTGGTTTAACTTTTTAACTTTGTCTATTCTGATATTCTTTGCTGTAATTAGCTACTTTTATTTTTTTTTTTTCAGCTCCACGTTAGTGCCGTTGTTGCTAATTAACTAATATTTTTACAGAATTCTCATTGTGAGGAGAAGTAATTAGTTGCCTTCAACTGAACTTCTTCTGTTGAAGATGTTTTTCAGCTTATCCAAGTGGCTTCCTTGAATCTAATGAGTGTCCAGAAGATACCCCAGTATTTATACTCACAGGGATAACTCTGAAACCGTCATTCAATCACCATGGAATTTTCGTCAAGACTGATGCTGATTGTCCAAAAACAGAATAGGCAGTGTGACAGTTTGCAAAATCTCCCTGCATAAGTTACCTAATCTAATTGATATGATGCCCTGAAGTCTGAGGTGTGGTAATTGTTTGAGTTACAAGGCTGAAGGTGTGAATTGTTGTCAAATTATTGTGGTAGAGATGCTAATATATCATTATATTGGGGGGGAGGCAGATGGTGTAGACCCTCCTCCCTTGTTTAGGAATGGATGCTTTGGTATGAACTAGATGGTCTCATTCATGCTTTATATCAGCCAGTTGTGTGTGGTGCACACTTTGGACAGAGAGGACAACTGGTTCCCAAGAGGGATGGAGAGACCTTCTACATCAAAATGGAACAGCCTTTCCAAAATGAGAATGGAGATCTTCCTTATTGTAGTAGAGATGTTAATATGGCGTTAAAATGTGGGTGAAAGGTGCTGTAGAAGACCCCACCCCAGTTCCGGATTGGAAGTTTTGGTACAAACTAGATTACCTCTTCTAGGCTTTATATCAACCATTTGTCTAATGTGGTGCACACTTTGGACAGAGAGGACAAATGGATCCCAAGTGGAATGGAGAGGCCATCTACATCATAATGGAACAGCCTTTCCCAAACGAGAATGCAGAGCTTCCTTATTGTAGTAGAGATGTTAATATGGCGTTAAATGTGGGTGAAAGTTGCTGTAGAAGACCCCCACCCCAGTTCCGGAATGGGAGTTTTGGTACGAACTAGATGACCTCTTTCAGCAGGCTTTATACCAACCATTTGTCCAATGTGGTGCACACTTTGGACAGAGAGGCCAGCTGGTTCCCAAGAGGGATGGAGAAGCCATCTACATCAAAATGGAACAGTCTTTCCCAAATGAGAATGGAGATCTTCCTTATTGTAGGAGAGATGTTAATATGGCATTAAATGTGGGTGAAAGGTGCTGTAGAAGTCCCCCATCCCATTTCTGGAATGGAAGTTTTGGTACGAACGAGATGACCTCTTTTAGGCTTTATATCAACCATTTGTCCAATGTGGTGTACACTTTGGACAGAGAGGACAACTGGTTCTGTCACAGACTCTAATGGTAGCTCTATAGGTCCACAGTTTGGGGTTCCCTAGGGCGCGGGGTCTAAGCCCCAGTCTGCTTGTTCACCAGAACCCCTGATGGTGGGGATGGACTTGGAGCAGGCTGAGACCAGGTTGCGGCCCCCAGGTACGCCCAGCTGTGGTAGAGGAGACCGCTAGTGTCACATACCTTAGTAGTGAGCCTGACGTGAAGAGGCAGAGCAGACCAGAGAAGGATGCGGATTGATCCATGCAGGATGGATGGATGTGGATGCACTGTGAAGCAAGTAGCGGAGTCAGGCGAGCCGTGTTTGGTATCCGAGGAGGCAGAGCAGACCAGAGCAGCAGGCAGAGGGATAGTCGGGTCACAGGCCAGGTTCAGCAACAGGAGGTCCAAAAATGATCAGGAGCAAGCAGAAGAATATCCAGAGGCAAGCCAGTGGTCAGGGCAGGAGAAGGTCAACAGTAGTCAGGAGCAGGCTGGGTTCAGCAACAGGAAACAACTCGGAGTCAGGAATCTCAGGCAAGGGAATTAGACCATATGGCAATTTGGATCCTGCAGTGGCCTGTTTAAATAGCACGCCCGGCGCCGTCATTGGTGACAGGCGCGCCCCTGTGAGCGCGAAAGCGCATGCGCGGCCGCAAGTACCGCCGTGCGTGCCTTGGTCGTAGTGAGCGCACGCCTGTAAGCCTTGTCAGGATCCCGCGCATGCGCAGATTCGTGCACCGCAGCGATCTTCCCTGACAGGTTCCCAAGAGGGATGGAGAGGCCATCTACATCAAAATAGAACAGCCTTTCCCAAATGAGAATGGAGATCTTCCTTATTGTGGTAGAGATGTTAATATGACGTTAAATGTGGGTAAAAGGTGCTGTAGAAGACCCCCACCCCAATTCCGGAATGGGAGTTTTGGTACGAACTAGATTACCTCTTTCAGCAGGCTTTATACCAACTGTTTGTCCAATGTGGTGCACACTTTAGACAGAGAGGACAACTGATTCCCAAGAGGGATGGAGAGGCCATCTACAGCAAAATGGAACAGCCTTTCCCAAACGAGAATGGAGATCATCCTTATTGTGGTAGAGATGTTAATATGACATTAAATGTGGGTGAAAGGTGCTGTAGAAGACCCCACCTCAGTTCCAGAATGGGAGTTTTGGTATGAACTAGATGACCTCTTTCAGCAGGCTTTATACCAACCATTTGTCCAATGTGGTGCACACTTTGGACAGAGAGGACAAATGGATCCCAAGAGGGATGGAGAGGCCATCTACCTCAAAATGGAACAGCCTTTCCCAAAGGAGAATGGAGATCTTCCTTATTGTGGTAGAGATGTTAATACGACGTTAAATGTGGGTGAAAGGTGCTGTAGAAGACCCCCACCCCAGTTCCGGTATGGGAGTTTTGTTATGAACTAGATGACCACTTTCAGAATTTATATCAACCATTCGTCCAATGTGGTGCACACTTTGGACAGAGAGGCCAGCTGGTTTCCAAGAGGGATGGAGAAGCCATCTACATCAAAATGGAACAGCCTTTCCCAAACAAGAATGGAGATCTTCCTTATTGTGGTAGAAATGTTAATATGGCGTTAAATGTGGGTGCAAGGTGCTGTAGAAGACACCCACACATGATGTGCAGGTTTATGTTGATTTATGTTTTTGAATTGTGTAGACTACCATGCTGTTTGTCTATGTTCATATTTCTCCTGATTTTGTTTTCTTTTATATTAATGATGGTTTTCTCATTGCAACGTTTACACTGAAAGTGTTCTTGCTGTAACTATGTTCTGTTTTTAAAAAAAACAGGCACTGGCCCTTAATAAAAATCTACAATATTAAAAAAAAAATTTAAGATCACCCCTGTCCCCCTCATACATACATACACATGCAAACGTGGTGCAAGTCCTGCATGTGTTTTGTCGCTACAGGTGAAACTCAAAAAATGAGAATATGGTGCAAAAGTTCATTTATTTCAGTGCCGCAACTTAAAAAGGTGAAACTAATATATGAGACTCATTACATGCAAAGCAAGATAGTTCAAGCCGTGATTTGTCATCATTGTGATGATTATGGCTTACAGCTCATGAAAACCCCAAATCCACAATCTCAGAAAATGAGAATATTGTGAAAAGGTGGAATATTCTTGGCTCAAAGTGTCCCACTCTAATCAGATAATTAACTTCTTGCCAACCGCAGATAGCCGAATGATGGCTACACTGTGGCCAGCTAGTTCTGGAATGGCATCATATGACGTCCTCCCAGAACGTGCTCTCCTGCACGCCCCCTACGGACACAGCTGATCACGTGATGTGGTAAAAGGCCAATCACAGCGGCCTTTTACCACGTGATCAGCCATGTCCAATGACACGCTGATCACCGGGAAATGCAATTGCCGGTTCTCGGCTGCACTTTCCTCACACTGTCAGAGCGCGAGGAAAGTACTGCCGAGAACCGGCAGTTGTCAGAGCAGGGATCGGCACCGATCATCAGGGCACTGATGATCAGTGCTCTGATGATCGGTGCCCAGCAGTGCCACCCACCAGTTCCGCCCACCAGTGCCCGGCAGTGCCACCCAGCAGTGCACCCACCTTTGCCCAGCAGTGCCACCTACCTGTGTCCAGACATGCCACCTACCTGTGCCCAGCAGTGCCACCCACCTGTGCCCACCAGTACCACCCACCTGTGCCCACCAGTGCCCATCAATGCAGTGCTGCCAGTCAGTGCCCAACAGTTGTGCCAGTCAGTGCCCATCAGTTGCACCAGTCAATGCCTAGCAGTTCCGCCAGTCATTGCCCAGCAGTGATGCCAGTCAGTGCCATCTATCAGTGCTGTCTATCAGTACCCATCATCAGTGCTGCCTATCAGTGCCACCTATCAGTGCCGCCTATCAGTGCCACCTATCCATGACACCTCGTTAGTGCTGCCTATCAGTGCTGCCTATCAGTGCCCTTCAGTGCTGCCCATCAGTGCCGCCTATCAGTGCCCATCAGTGCTGCCTCATCAACGCACATCAGTGAAGGAGAAAAATTACCTGTTTGAAAATTTTTAGAATAGAAACAAATAAAAAGTTTTTTTTTTTTCAAATTTTTTGCAATTTTTTTGTTTATAGCGCAAAAAGTAAAACACCCAGTGGTGATTAAATACCACCAAAATAAAGCTCTATTTGTGAGAAAAAAATGATAAAAATTTCATATGGGTACAATCTTGCATGACCGCGCAATTGTCAATCAAAGTGCGATAGCGCTGAAAGCTGAAAATTGGCCTGGTAAAGAAGGGGGTGTAAGTGCCCGGTAGGCGAGGGGTTAAGCCATAACACCTGCAAAGGCTTCCTGAGCCTTTAAATGATCTCTCAGTCTGGTTCAGTAGGAATCACAATCATGGGAAAGACTGCTGACCTGACACCATCATTGACACCCTCCATAAGGAGGGAAAGCCTCAAAAGGGAATTGCAGAAGAAGTTGGATGTTCCCAAAGTGCTGTATCAAAGCACATTAATAGAATGCAGTCAGTGCATCAAGAGCCACCACACACAGACGGATCCTGGACATGGGCTTCAAATGTCATATTCCTCTTGTCAAGCCGCTCCTGAACAACAAACAATGTCAGAAGCGTCTTACCTGGGCTAAAGAGAAACAGACCTGGTCTGTTACTCAGTGGTCCAAAGTCCTCTTTTCTTATGAGAGCAACTATTGCATCTCATTTGGAAACCAAGGACCCCGAGTATGGAGGAAGAATGGAGAGGCCCAAGGACCCCGAGTATGGAGGAAGAATGGAGAGGCCCAAGGACCCCGAGTATGGAGGAAGAATAGAGAGGCCCAAGGATCCCGAGTATGGAGGAAGAATGGAGAGGCCCAAGGACCTCGAGTATGGAGGAAGAATGGAGAGGCCCAAGGACCCCGAGTATGGAGGAAGAATGGAGAGACCCAAGGACCCCGAGTATGGAGGAAGAATGGAGAGGCACAAGGACCCCGAGTATGGAGGAAGAATGGAGAGGCCCAAGGATCCCGAGTATGGAGGAAGAATGGAGAGGCCCAAGGACCCCGAGTATGGAGGAAGAATGGAGAGGCCCAAGGACCCTGAGAATGGAGGAAGAATGGAGAGGCACAAGGACCCCGAGTATGGAGGAAGAATGGAGAGACACAAGGACCCCGAATATGGAGGAAGAATGGAGAGGCCCAAGGACCCCGAGTATGGAGGAAGAATGGAGAGGCCCAAGGACCCCGAGTATGGAGGAAGAATGGAGAGGCACAAGGACCCCAAGTATGGAGGAAGAATGGAGAGGCCCAAGGACCCCGAGTATGGAGGAAGAATGGAGAGGCCCAAGGACCCCGAGTATGGAGGAAGAATGGAGAGGCCCAAGGACCCTGAGAATGGAGGAAGAATGGAGAGGCACAAGGACCCCGAGTATGGAGGAAGAATGGAGAGACACAAGGACCCCGAATATGGAGGAAGAATGGAGAGGCACAAGGACCCCGAGTATGGAGGAAGAATGGAGAGGCACACACTGCAAGATGCTTGAAGTCCAGTGTGAAGTTTCCACAGTCTGTGTTGATTTGGGGAGCCATGTCATCTGCTGGTGTTGGTCCACTGTGCTTCATTAAGTCCAGGGTCAATGCAGCCGTCTATGCAGCTGACTTCATTTTCCAGCAGGACTTGGCACCGCCCACACTGCCAAAAGTACCAAAACCTGGTTCAATGACCGTGGGATTACTGTGCTTGATTGGCCAGCAAACTCGCCTGACCTGAACCCCATAGAGAATCTATGGGGCATTGCCAAGAGAAAGATGAGAGACATGAGACCGAACAATGCAGAAGAGCTGAAGGCCGCTATTGAAGCATCCTGGTCTTCCATAACACCTCAGCAGTGCCACAGGCTGATATCTTCCATGCCACGTCGCATTGAGGCAGTAATTGCTGCAAAAGGGGCCCAAACCAAGTACTGAGTACATATGCAGCTTCTACTTTTCAGAGGTCCGATATTGTTCTATGTACAATCCGTGTTTTATTGATTGCATGGAATATTCACATTTTGTGAGATTGTGGATTTGGGGTTTTCATGAGCTGTAAGCCATAATCATCACAATGATGACAAATCACGGCTTGAACTATCTTGCTTTGCATGGAATGAGTCTCATATATTAGTTTCACCTTTTAATTTGCTGCACTGAAACATAGGAACTTTTGCACCATATTCAAATTTTTCGAGTTTCACCTGTATTTCTTGGGTGCACACAATTGAGTCTTGACGCGTTTGGCATCCATTTACTCAACGCCAAATCCTCTTTTTCATTTTATCGAAAAAAAAGATAATATATTTTGTTTACGTGCACTGAAATTCATTTTAGTCTATGTTTTCTAAAAAGATGCGTTTGAGAAAGGGCCGTGCAAATATCATGTCACCTAAAAAACTGCAACAGCCACCATTTTATTCTCCAGGGCCTCTGCTTTCTGAAAATCTGTCATGTTTTGGGTTTCTAAATAATTTTCTAGGCAATTTTCTAGGCAGCGTGGCATGTTTGGTTGACCCAAACAATTGCGTATTATATTTGTACAATAAAATTCAATGAAGTGGATTTTTGCAAAAAAAAAAATGCATTTAAAAAAACTTCTGCGCAAATATCATGTGACACTTAAATATTCAATACCTACCATTTTATTAGGGTCTCTGCTTAAAAAAATATATAGAAAAATATAAAACTGCAGTGAGCGCTCTCAATAATTAGCAGCTGAACATTCAAGGAAAACACATAAAAGTTCCAAGAAATATATATATATGAAAAATGCAGCGCTATTAATATATCATAAGTGGTTGTGGTGGTATTAATAAATGAATAATAATAAGACAGTCCAGTAAAAGGTGCTCGTTGATTCCCGGTGCAAATGGCAGAAATGCGCACTAACCCGAAGCGTATAGGTAATACGCATGTGAGTAAATATCCTGAAGATTCCCCAATCAAGCGCCCTCGTGTGGTGAAGATGTGGTCCAGCAGGTCAGAGAAATCTTTGCCAAGATGTAGTTCCCCCTCTCAGGAGCTGACACAGGAATCACTCAGGGCTGTAAAGGTTGAAGAAGCTCCTCACAGGAGACACAGGGAAATACTCATAGTGTAGTAGGTAACTGACTTTATTAGAAAAGCAAGGGTGTATAGTAAAATCACAATGGTACCAAGTATGGGTGAACATACTGACCCTTTAAATACAAAGATGGCCGCCGGGCCTCCACGTGGCACCGGCGGCATGGTGTCAACAGCGTCCTGGTCTCAGGAACTACATCTTGGCAAAGATTTCTCTGACCTGCTGGACCACATCTTCACCACACGAGGGCGCTTGATCTTCATTCTTTCCAGTTTTTCCCGTGATCAGACCAGAAAGGAGAGGGGAATCTTCAGCATATTTACTCACATGCGTATTACCTATACGCTTCTGGTTAGTGCGCATTTCTACCATTTGCACAGGGAATCAACGAGCACCTTTTACTGGACTGTCTTATTATTATTCATTTATTAATAACACCACAACCACTTATGATATATTAATAGCGCTGCATTTTTCATATATATAAAAAAAAATATGGAAAGTTTGGAGTTCTAAGCAGTTTTCTAGCAAAAAATGTTACATGGCGTACATAATTTTAAAGCTTGGCATGTTTGGTTGACCCAAACAATTGCGTTTGTGCATTAAAATGCAATAAAGTAGATTTTTGCAAAAAAAAATCTCATTTAAAAAACAGCTGCGCAAATATCATGTGACATTTAAATATTCAACATCTACCATTTTATTAGGGTCTCTGGTTAAAAAAATTATAGAATGTTTGGCATTCTAAGTAGTTTTCTAGAAAAAAATTTAACACGGCGTACATAATTTTAAAGCGCGGCATGTCTGGTTGACCCAAACAATTGCGTATTATATTTGTGCATTAAAATTCAATGAAGTGGATTTTTGCAAAAAAAAAACCTGAAAATAACAATATTCATGTATAATAATAAAAAAAAGAGCCGTGTATCTTTCATCATCCTAAGAAGTAAACTTGTTATTTTGAAATGTTAGTTTCTCTCCAACGCTCGAGTCATGAAATATCCTTTGCGAAACATAACTTTTTTTTTTTTAATTCTTTTTTTTTTTTTTAAAAAAAACAGAAACTCCGGTCTTTTCCCGGAGGGGAAAATTTATTGGGTTGTTAGGAGGCAAGAAACTAGAAGGCCTAAAAAAAAAAAAATAGCGTTCCTTCAGACTTGTGGCCGCGATAAAATACGGCGTTGCATCTGTCGCTGGCAGGTGCTGGGAGCGATATTGTACGGCGCCGGAGATATGCAGAGCGGTGACACCGCCGCGATGACACCGCCGCGCTGACAATATTAAGCCGTATATTATCATCTTCACACATAATTCCTTCCAGCGAAATCATCTGCCATCATTTTTCAGCGCTTATTATAGTCTTTTATAGCGTCACGCAGGTAGAAAGTTGTGTTTTTTTTATTCTTCATTTTATCGTGAATTTATCGCCCTCCTAGTTATCCAGCGCCAAAGTTATGTAGGCGGATTTCCAAATCACACAATCCCCGGGAAGATGGTTAACATGATAATATATCTCCCGGATAATTTTTACACCGACTGGAAATCTCGGCAGATGGCTTTGTATTTGTGTCTCCCTCATCCCGATAAGTCACCGTGACCTGACGCCGGAGGACCCGGGGTGAGGGGGCGGGATGACGTCACAGTCAGGGCTGATGG